ACATGCATGTAATGTGCACAAGGTCACTGCTTTCGTGGAGGATCGCCGGCTGAAGCACGTCACCGGCGTCCAGGGTAAGGAGCTGGTCCGATCCTTTGGGTCACCAATATTTCTATCCCTAATTTGGAACGCCGGTAAAATCACTTTCTCGACTATGACTGGACTCTCTCGCTCCTATCCCGTTTTTTCCTTTGAAGAGGACGCCACCACCGCCGACCAGAAAAAATGAGTGATTTGGCCGGTGATGTTTTTGAAAATCAATAAAATAATAGTATATTTTTTTTAATTGTAATATCGCATTATTTCTTACAATATTTCCTGTATTTGATTTCAAAGTAATTATTAAATTTTATATCAATTTGCCTTTATGTAAGATATTGTATGACATCAATACATGCTTTTTTCTTTTGTTTTTCTTCTTCTTTTTTTTTTATTTATCTTTTTTAAACACCTAATAATTATCATAAATGATTATTAATAATTGTAAACTTATTTTAGGCAATTATATTAATAATTCATTATTTTTTTACAAGGATTAATAATTCATTATTAAAGCAAGTATAATTTATTTTGTACTATAGACACATTATTTTTTAATAATTTTGATTTAAATTATTCAAGTTTCTATGTTTCATATACAAAACGCGCTATAATTGTAAATTCATAATTGTAATACTTTCGTAATAATATTGAATAAATATTGACCATATGTTTAGATTTAATAATATATTATATTAAAAGAATTATATATAAATCTAATATAGTGATGGTTAATATGAGTAAATAATATATAAGCATAATTTTATACAGGAAAATATTTATTATTAACCATATATAACTTATGAAATAACTAAACTTATTCAAACTTAATTATTTATAATTTTACTTTTAATATAAATATATAGTTTTAATGTATGAAATTAATAAGCTTTTACATAATGTGAATCTATATATTTTAAATAATTTTGATTTAATAATGTATTATCTTAATTATAAAAATAATACCAAATAATTTTAGTATTACATGGCATACAATAATTACCATAAATAATGCTTAATAATTGACAATACGTATTACGCAATAAAAATTAATAGTTAATTATTAAGTCAATTATAAAAAAATATATATATATACTATGGACACATTATTTTAAATAATTTCAGTTTAACAATATTATAACTTATTTATAAAATTAAAAGTAATACTTTTAGTACTATTGATGTGACTAATAATTATCTTAATAATTAAAGCAAATAATAGATGTTTAGCTTTAAAAAGTATTTAAATGTATGAATTATAGTAGTATGGAATCAATTAGTAGGACAATTATATTAGACAATCTAATTAATAATTTATTTTTTACATTATATCTCCTTTTTAATAATGAATATTTTCCTAAAGCATATACACAGATTATGTTTATTAATATAGAATTAAAATATATATATATATATATATATATATATATATATATATATATATTATTTATTTATACTTAATGTATAATATTATTAGTACAAAATAAATTATACCTGCCTTAATAATTAATTATTAATATTATTGCCTAATAATTATTTATTGTAATTTTCTTCACCTTTTTCAGTATAATTATTATGGTTATTTTATGGTACTCTATATACATATATTTTCATACTTAAGGTATAATATTATTGGCACAAAATAAATTATTTATACTTACCTTAATTTATACTATAACCAAAAACAAAATTCTAGTTACACTATTATTTTTCGCCCAAACAATAGTAAATAGTAAAGGTAAATTAAAAAAAGAATGGAAATAGAAAAAAGGAACATAAATATTTCACAATAATATTCTACTTCATCAATTAAAAATAGAGTGGAAATTATGTAAATTGGAAAAGGAAATGACTTTTAATAATTGACTTAAAAAAAAATGATATGTAATTGACTAAAATGGAAAAGGGAATGGTCAGATCATTGCATTTTAATTTTTTACAATAATATTACACATATAATACATCAAATCACAATTATATCATAAATCTTTCACAATTTTAAACAATGGAACGAAAATAAAAATAGAACAAAAATATTTCAATAATAATATTCTACAACATCAAGTAAAGAGGTAAATTAAAAATGGAAAGAAAAAATATTTCAATAATAATATTCTACATCATCAATAGTAAAGACATATTTTAAACAATAGTAATTTAAAAGTAAATTAAAAATGAAACGAAAATTAAAAATGAAACGAAAATATTTTAATAATAATATTCTACATCATCAATTAAAAATAGAACAAAAATTAGGTAAAAATATCACTGCATGTGATATTCTAATTGACTAATTGACTGAAAAAAATAATTAGTTGAAAATGAATATGATATTACTAATTGATTGAAAATATAAAAGAAAATGAATATTAATAGTTGACTGCAAATAAAAAATGATCCATAATGGACTAAAATGAAAAAATAAATGGTAAGATCATTGCATTTTAATTAAAAATAGAACAGAAACTAAAATTGGACGGGACTATTTCAATAATAATATTCTACATCATTAATAGTAAATGCATATTTTAAACAATAGTAAAGATAAATTAAAAATGGAACTGAAATATTTCAATAATTATATTATACATCATCAATTAAAAATGGAACGAAAATTAGGTAAAAATATACTGCATATGATATTCTAATTGACTAAAAATAAAAAAGAATAATTGGCTAAAAATGAATATGATATTACTAATTGACTTAAAATATAAAAGGATCACTATTGACTAATATTCTACTATTAGTCACACATCCTGATGGACTGAATGTATTAGCTCTAGACGAGGATGGATAAGATTGTGTTTCTACTACCAATATCGTTTATAAAGAGGTTTTAATAATGTGTAAATACAATCGATTTTTTTTTTAAATGACAAAATTGTTATATATCTAGACAAAAATATATATTCCATACAAATGAATTAAGATAGCAATTCATTCCTATAACTGAGTTGCTAGAAAACGAACACATTTGTCTAATTTATAAAAAATATTAAATAATGATAAATAAAATCTCCTAAGTTACAGTACCGCATGCGTACATCTACACATTAATTATTAATTTGAACAATTATTTGCTTAAATTCAAGCAATGATAACATTAAAACACATAAATGATTCAAACCATATATTCAATTTCACTATATAATATTTGATGTTCTAATTTAAATAATTATATATCGATTCAAATATTTAATCCATTCCGTGCATTGCATGGGAGAAAATGATAGTACTAGTAAAAACAAATAATAATTCATAAAAAATTATTAGAATTAGTGGACTAAATTAAATATTTAATTAATTTACTATTACAAGCTCCTTCCCGTATTTTTCATCTTCAAATTAAAGTGGCAGAACATGGCTACTTGTACAAGTGCTTTCTACCAAGTAAATTAAAAATAAAGACAGAAGTTTCAATAAATAAATAAATAAATAAAGACAGAGAAAATAAATATAATTATTTTTCTTCTTTTCCCAATTATTTTTCTAATACTACAATGTTAGGAAATCAATAAATAAATTCATTGTATTTTGTAATTGATAAATTTATTATTAAAATCAAATTACTCAATTCTTAGACCAAATATTAATTATTTCTAAACATTAAGTACTCTATAAAAATAGCCAATGACTTTGTGGTTTAGTGGCACTAAGCTGCTTTCTCATTTAGGAGTTGTAAGTTCGAGCCTTGGTGGATATGCGTAGTACTTTATAGAATAATTATGTCAATTACCCAATCTATTATATTAGTTTAGTTATAATGTGTCAGTTGCAAATTTTTTTAATTTTAATATAAAATTTTCAAATCTAAAAAGATTTGACTAAAATTTATAGGGAAATGGTCAAATACACCCCTAAACATTATAGGAAAGTGCAATTAGACCCTAAAATATTTAAAAAGTTCGATTAAACTCATAAACTTATCATTTTGATACATTCAGATCCAATAGCATGTCTCCTACTGGTAATACCCTGTAATTAAATATCACAGGGCTAAATCGGTCGATGGCGATCGTTTTTCAGTCACCGTCTTCCATAGTCGGCAACCAGTGTGGCTTCTTCAACTGAGGAAGAGGCGACCATAAGCTCGCCTCCACCTCTAGGAAGAAGGCCACACCGGTCGCCTGCTTTCTAGAGGAGGAGGCGACCAACCGTCGCCTCCTCTTCCAAGAAGAAGGCAACGCCGGTTGCCTTCTTCCTGGAGGAGGAGGCAACCAAAATGTCGCCTCCTCCTCTAGGAAGAAGGCGACCAATTGCCTTCTTCTTGGAGAAGGATGCCGCTGGACGCCGGTTGCCGGTTTCCGGTGTATTTTTTTTAGATTAGTGTTGAAGATGACGGTAAACGGCGGTAATGATGATCAAAGATGGCATAGTTACCGGTAACCTATTGGTTACCTACTAAGTGGACCTATTTGATTGATTTTATGAAGTTTATATATTTAATTGAACTTTTTAAATGTTTTAAGGTCTAATTGCACTTTAATATAATATTTAAAGGTGTATTTGACCCTTTTCCCAAATTTATATAAAACAGCATAACTCTTTTTCCTCAAATTCATTAATTCCAATAAAGCATTGTCCGAGCGATGAAACAGAAAGACATAAACAACGTTATAAGATGAGGATAGACATGAAGATGGTTCCAAATCTGAAATCCCTCAGTCATATAACTCACTACAAGACAACAATACAAGCAGACCGGCCTGAATTGCCCTCCATTATCACTTCTTCTGAGATTACAAAGCATTTATGTTGTTGCCATGTAACAGTTTCTCTACGCAGCATTTACAACCAGACTCGAAGCCGGAATTAGAATCTTTTGACAGATAGAACAGTCCAGTTTCTGGGCATGGAAAAATCCCTCTACAACCACCTTATTTAACCAGTTTAATAATTTCTTAGTATTCTCCTAGCTAGCTAGCTAATTCCTGGTTCATCAAATTAAAGATGGAGGATCTTGAAAAGGAATCTGGAAAGGTGGTCATCAAAACCAAGAAAGGTGGCATGAAAACCATGCCTTTTGTGATAGGTGATGATCTGATCTGATCTGATGATATTCTGATATATATAGGATTTTGAAAGTTTGATTATTTGGGTTTTCACGTTCTGTTAAAATTTAAAAAAATATGGGGTTTTTGTTGTTGTTGCAGCGAACGAGACATTTGAGAGAGTTGCAACTGTTGGGCTGGCGGCAAATATGATTTTGTACCTGTTGAATGAGTATCATTTTGATAATGTTATTGGGGCTAATATCGTGTCCTGGTGGGTTGCCATTACCTATTTCACACCAATTTTTGGAGCTTTTCTTTCTGATTCTTACTTGGGCCGGTATCTTGTCATCTCCCTTGGAACATTCACCACCCTAATTGTAATTTCTCCGATCCTTCTCTTTTAATTTGCTTGCTTGCTACACCTCACAACATTAGATAATTAGATATCGGTCCATTGCATGGTTAGAAAAACTTTTATTTTTTAGCTTCTTAAAGTGCTTTTTCTAATTAAGTACCTATTTGATCACTTTAGAGATTCAAAAGTTAGAAAATGAGATTTTCACTTCGTGCTTTTTAATAGATAAGATATTTTTTTGTTACTACTATGATAACCATTTTAAGAGGTTGAAAAGTGTCTCAAGGTATCCATAGTTACAAAAAAAAAAAAAAAAAAAAAAAAAAAAAAAAAAAAAAAAAAAAAAAAAAACTCAATTTCCTTTCGGATGGTGGAAAAATAGATGGAAAATTTGTGATTTTTCACAATTGATGATCCAACATTAACAATTTTTATGTGTATGATGTTATAGGGGAATGACTTTTATGATTGAGTACTTTTTTTTTACTACTTTAGAGGTTCGGAAGTTAGAATATGAGAGTCTAATTTTGTGTTGCTCAAAAGTTTTTTTCTGACTACCTTATAAGGGTCAAATATGTCACTTAACTGCACACTGAATGCAATTAGGTTATCGAATTTAAAAATAATACAATTGGGTTTTTGAACAACACAAAATCATGCAATTAGATCCAAAATGAGTTGTTTTACCTGAAATAACGTGACGGTTACCAATTTTAAGAATAATTAATTAAAACTTTAAAAAAATAAAAATAATAAAAAGTAAACCGACCGGAGACGATTAGCTGACTTCGTTTCCCTGGCCATGGAGACGAAGGTCTCTTCGTCTTCTCTATGACCAGTGGTCTCAGTCCATGGCAAGAGATGAAAGTCTTCGTCTCCCATTTAATTAATTATTTTATGAAGTTATTTGAAAATATTATTTTTAAAATTAATAATCGCGACGTCAGCATATGTCAGGTAAAATAAGTCATTTTGGGTCTAATTGCATGATTTTGTGTTGTTTAAGGACCCAATTGTATTATTTTTTAGTTCGATAACCTAATTACATTTTGGAGTTGGATTTGGGTGGCCTATTTAACCTTATTCCTTGATTATTTTAAATATCCCAAGGTTGAAGGGTGCTGGTTGGAAAAGTTCTAAAAAAATCTCTAAATTTCCCTAGGGTGGTAAAAAAAGAAAAAAAAAAAAAAAAAAAAAAAAAAGTGGATAAAAATTCACAATTTTCCACAGTTGATGATCCAACATTAACAATAATTTTTATGTGTACAATAATAATAATGTTGTAGGGAACAATTCTGCTGTGGTTAACAGCCCTGGTCAAGGCAGCAAGGCCGCCACCCTGCACCACAGGATCAGAGAACTGTGAGAAACCAAACTCCGGCCACCTCGCCATTCTCTTCATGTCGTTGGCGCTGATGGCGGTGGGCGCCGGCGGCATCCGCCCGTGTTCTCTGGCTTTCGGAGCCGACCAGTTCGACAACCCCGACAACCCCAACAACAAGATAATCTTGCAGACTTTCTTCAATTGGTACTATGCTTCTGTCGGGGTATCCATCATTGTTGCGGTCACTATCATCGTGTATATACAGACGGAGAAGGGGTGGGTGGTGGGATTTGGAGTGCCGGCGGCATTGGTGCTCATGGCAGCCGTCATGTTTCTGGTGGGTTCGAGGTTGTTTGTTAAGGTTAAGCCAAACAAGAGCTTGCTGACGGGGTTTTATCAGGTGGTGGTGGCAGCCTGGAAGAACAGACACCTAGACCTGCCGGAAAAGGGCTGTGATGATTGTTGGTATTATGACGATAAGGGCTCAAAACTCACTTCACCATCTGAGAGAGTGAGGTATGTTGGAGTTTATTTTACACTCCATTCAAAAAACTAAAGAGAAAGAAGTTTATTGGTTGTGGAGTTTAATTTTTTTTAAGTAGCGGACAGTGTTGCAAAAACCCAGCCTAGGCACTGATTAATCAAGGCCTAGGCACTAAGCACTCACTAGCTGCCTAGCATATCACCATAATGGGTGATCTAGGTGGTTGGTCGACCGCTAGGCGGCTGACTAGGCTGTCTAAGTGCACGGTCGCCTGTAGGCCAATTGTTATGCTATGGATCCGTGTCCAGCATGTCACGGTAACGGTGTCGTTAGTGGCACCGCTCTCTTCCACTTTTTTTTTTTTTTTTAAAAAAAAAATCAGACCACTTTGTTATAGGAGTATATGTTCATAATTTTATCACTATATGTTCATAATTGTAAGTTCATAATGTCAGAGCTCTGTGTTCATAATTGCATAACTGTACATTCATAATTCCGTAACTGTACATTCATAATTCAATAACTGTAAATTCATAATTTTCGAAACTCTATGTTCACAATTTTAGAACTCTATGTTCATAATTTTATCACTATATGTTCATAATTGTAAGTTCATAATGTCAGAGCTCTGTGTTCATAATTCCATAACTTACATTCATAATTCCATAACTGTACATTCATAATTGCATAATTGTACATTCATAATTCCATAATTGTACATTCATAATGCCACACACGAATAACGCCGTTAACGGCGAGACAAAATCAAAAATTATTTTTTTAACTGGAAGGCGGCGTTTTCCCTTAAAACGACATCGTTTTGGACTCGTGTCCACAATGCACAACATAATTTTCACCTGTAGGCCTCCTAGGCACCGATTAGTCGTCTAGCCCGCTAATTAGCTATTGTTTCTTTCTTTTTAAAAAATGGGTTATTTCACACAACACGACATAGTTTTGAGCGAAATAACTCTAAATTGTTCAAACTCTAGATATTTTTTAGGTTAATATTTATAACTAATTAAAGTATTAAATAGTTTATAATTATCATCATATCTTACAAAATTAAAAAAAAAAATTTAAACAAAATTTTAAAAAATAAAAAATAAAATTAAAAATACACAAGGCCTAGGCCCCCTAGGCGCCTAGAGCCTAGCAATTTTTTTTTAACTATGGTAGGGGATTGATAGATGTGCATTGTGATCCACTTCTGATATTTTATATTATCTACTGAACTATGTCAATGAGTTAAGCCTGTTTCGGACACACTTAAACATGCAATGTTTTGGATTAATTTTCAGGTTCTTAAACAAGGCCTGTCTGGTTGCAAATCCAGAGACTGACCTGAACCCTGATGGATCAGCTTCAGATCCAAGGAGACTATGCACAGTAAAGCAAGTGGAAGGGCTGAAATCAGTGTTCAAAGTCCTGCCATTATGGTCCACAGGCATAATGATATCAGTAACCATAAGCCAGCACTCATTCCCAGTGCTACAAGCCAGAACACTAGACAGGCACTTCATAGGCACCTTCCAAATCCCTCCAGCCTCATTCATGGTCTTCGGCATCCTCACCCTCACAATCTGGGTAGCCATCTACGACCGCCTCCTCGTCCCCTGGATCGCCAAACACACCAAAAACCCTAGAGGCCTCGGCCTCAGACAACGAATGGGGATCGGCCTGATCTTGTCCTGTCTAGCCATGGCGGCCTCGGCTCTAGTGGAGCGGGAGCGCCGTGCCAGGGCCATTCGCCAGGGGCTCGAAAACAAGCCCCTGGCGTTAGTGGACATGTCCGGGATGTGGCTTATACCCCAGCACTGCCTGACTGGGCTAGGGGAGGCTTTCAATGCAATAGGGCAGATAGAATTCTACTACTCTCAGTTCCCAAAGAACATGACTAGCATTGGGGTGTCACTTTTCTCACTGGGGATGGGTTTTGGGAACCTGTTGGCCAGTCTTATTGTGGTGGCTGTGGATCATTGCTCTAAACATGGAGGGAAGATTAGCTGGGTGGATGATAACTTGAATAAGGGCCACTATGATTACTACTATTGGGTTCTTTGCTTCTTATCAATTGGGAATTTCTTCTACTTTCTCCTTTGTAGCTGGGCTTTTGGATCTAGTGATGATGGTAAGATTTGGGATGATGATGATGAAAGTGATAGTAACAAGGAAGGAGGTGTTCTTATGCATTAGCAGCATCAAACATTATTCATACTTTTTTTTGTACAAATGTCAAACAACATTATAAATAAATAACACTTTTTTTTTGCCAACATCTAAGAGCATCACCATTTGTTGTAGTTTTTGTAGGTGTGACTAAAAAAGAGAATATAAGAGGGAGAAAAAAAAAAAAAGAAAAGAATAAAAAAACAAAATATGAAAAAACAAAAAAAAAATTACAAATTTACAAGCTTAGTCCGCCGCAAGAGTTGCGCCTCACGCGTTGTGAGACCCATATCTTCTCCTCACGGTGGGACCACTTCACTGTCAAAAATTCAATATTTGCAAGAGAACCTCATGTCTTATATGGCAAATTATGTTGTGCATCCGTATGCACCATGCATGGTGCATACAGATGCAAAAACGACGTCGTTTTAATAAAACGCGCGTCTCCCCTTAAAAAAAAAAATCAGGTTCGATTCCCAGCAACAACATATGAACTAAAATTCCATAATCGATGAACTATAATTCCATAATCGATGAACTATAATTCCATAATCAATGAACTATAATTCCATAATCTAATCTATGAACTAAAAATTCCAGAATGAATGAACTAAAATTCCATAATCTATAAACTAAAATTTCAGAATCGATGAATTACAATTCCATAATCGATGAACTATAATTCCATAATCAATGAACTATAATTCCATAATCTATGAACTAGAATTCCAGAATGAATGAACAATATAATAGTGTTGCTGGGAATCGAACCTGAATTTTTTTTAAAGAGGAAACGCGCGTTTTTTAATAAAATGACGTCATTTTGGCATCCGTATGCACCATGCATGGTGCATACGGATGCACATCATAACGATTGGTCTTATATCTCATCACTCTCTTTCCTCTACATGGGCTCCCAAACCTGCAAAAATCATTGAAAAACTACTATTGGGGATATTCTAAATTTTGTATAGATTGGATGGACAATGACATATGAAATGATTGTTTAATGTTATATTTTGAAAATTGTAGCAGGAATTACCCTTCTCTCTCTCTCAAATGCGGAGAGTTTTCCTTCTTGTTCTTGGTGACAAGTTTCTCCCTCTTGTTCTTGTTAACAAGTTCTCCTTCCTTTCTTAGCATTTCGTTTCCTCCATCCTGTTGGTGGTTTGGTGTTTCTTTTGTTCTGCTTTAATGACCTGCATTTATGGCAAGTGAAAACATTTGTTTCATGTATACTGTTAGCTGGTTTGCGATCCCTCTCTTCTTTCGATTTTGTATTGATGGCAAGCATTTATGGTAAGAGAAAGGTAGGTGAGCCCTCAGATGTAGACCCTTGCATTAAAGCTCCCTTCGCCAACATGCATTGTACACATCAAACACTGTTTTGCTTCAAACTATCACTATAACAATATTCTCTCCACTAATATCATGGCTTCGAGCAGCAAGGGTAAACAAACACTAGAAGACCACTACGCTTCTCTTAGCATTCAGAATGATGATGAAGAGGAAGCTGACCTCCCTTATGGAGATCTGAACACGGAAAATTCTGAGACCTTCATGCTGGTCGGAACTCTGATCACTGAGAAAAATGTGAAATTCGACTTCTTAAAGGAGACTCTTTCTGCAGTCTAGAGACCCATGAAGGGGGTGGTGGCAAAGGAGATCTCTACCAATCTCTTCATTTTCTATTTCTTCCACGAGAATGACAGACGGAGAGTGATGGAAAATAGCCCCTAGTCTTTTGAACAAAACTTATTAGTGTTAAGGGAGTTGGAGCACCACGAGTCACCATATAACATCGACTTAACGAAGGCGGAGTTTTGGGTCCAGATTCACAAGTTTCCCCAGAAACTCTCTACCCCTCAGATGGTCGAAGCGATAGGTACACTATTTGGCCAGTTTGTCAAGGCTGATCTAACACACTTTGACGAAACACCGAAGGCCTTCATCAGAATATGAGTTCGCATAGACATTACTAAACCGTTGAGGAGGAAAGTAAAGATTAAACCACTAGGTGAAGCAAATACGACACTTGATTGCAAATATGAACGTCTACCGACGTTCTGCTTTGTATGCGGAAGGATTGGTCACGCTGAGAGCTTTTGCCCAGTCCAGTTTGATTCTCAAACTGATATGCCCAGGGCATATGGTCCGGAACTGAGGGCGGCAGGCCGCCGTGGTCAAAATAGTGGAAACAGATGGCTCCTTGAAAAATTTCCACCCAAGAAATCTCAAATGGCCGGAGGCAGCGACCATGACCGGAACCAGGAAGAGGTGTAACACCCCTAATTTTTAAAACGATTAAAAGCTTATATAAACAACACAATCTATCATTGAACGTCCTAAATAGAGCATAAACAATCCACAAGAGTCGGGGTGCTATGCCACACCTAGGTTTGTGAACACAGATGCACAGGCTAAACTACGAATCATATGTAATCCATAAATTAAATACAATCCAAGGCATGCAGGCTATTGCTATTACTAATACTAACTAGACTAAGACTACGAGTCCATCTAGCGCGCTCCTTAGCTAATGATCATCACCTGAAAAACATATCGTAGCAACCGTCAGCGAATGATGCTGAGTAACCCACTCCCACGCGTTAAGTACAATAAATATAAATATAGGAAATCATTTTGAAACTAGAATACATATATAACCTAAGCAACTCTAGCTTTAAAACCAGGATCAAGACTCGAGACACCATCAATAAGACAACATTTTGAATATTATAGAGATACTAGAATGCATCCTATGTTTGCAAGGCATAATAGACAAGTAAGCTCATAAATAGCAATTAAAGGCAACAATGGGATCCAATGACAATCAATTAGCAAGTAATCATCAAAGCACACAATCCATCTTCCAACCTTATACCAAGTTCCAACCTTTACTCCTCTCCATCCTTATATCAGTTCCAACCTGTACCTCCAGGCCTCCCTTATATCGCCTCCCTTATTCCTCCGGAGCAACTACATACCCCACACCGAAACCACCAACAAGTCCACCAACATGGTAGCACCGAAGTGTCATTCGCATGATCCGTGCCTCTAGCACCACTACCAAGGGGTCAGCGCATATAGCTCTGACATGGCACCGCGACACTTATACCCTGACCCAAGCCTTTAGCCAACAAGTCTAAGGGGTGGTCCGTTCCTTTAGCATAATAACCAAGCACCCGTTGTGCTATCCGCCAACAATTCATTTCCACCAATCACAATCTCATTATCATCAATCTCAACCATCATTGCGCAATGATCACAATACCCATCATCATTCAATTAATCAACATATAATCAACAATAACAATCAAGGTATAATAGCAACGATACAAACTACACATAAATTCCTAGAACGGTACTCAAAACATCATACGAGACTCATAAACATCAAACGGAGGAAAACAACCTGCCGCGCCACCCCGTTCAAGCGGGTGGGCGGTGGGTGGAGGACCACCCGCCGGTGTAACACCCCGTGTTACGGCCTCCGTATCCGGACTAATTATGAAATTAATTTCGTTAACATATAATTAAAAAGGATGTAATTAGACTAGAATTCCAATTAATTAATTAGCATGGTCCACAATGGATCATGGACCCTTATCCTTAACCAAGTCTTTAATTCTATAAGGAATAGGAAAAGCGGGCCTTTACTATTTAGATTCTAGTTAGGACTCCTGAATCTATATATAGGGAATTAGAAAGCATTTAAAAACCATACCACAATTAATCTTACCATGCGTGATATTTCCCGAGGAAACCTAGCAAAAGAATTCCCCGCTACCAAACTTAGAGGAATCCATTGGAGGGAGATCTTAGAGAAGAACCTTAGTAGCCAAGGATATTGATTAGGGCTAAGAGGTAACCCATGTTTTATAAAACCTATTTTACTTGCTATATCTTGATTATTGGCTCATATGATGTGTGATTCTGTGATTGAGTCTTGATAGAGCTTTGCCTAAGGTTTATATTGTGTTTATTTGATAATCTTGATGATCTTGATGTTGTGATTAATTATATGCGTGATCTTGTATTTTAATTATGTCTAGAGCTTGTCCATAGGTTTTATATCGTGAATCTCGTTGTTATGATGTTCTTGGTATATTTGGGTGGGTTTATGCATGATCGGGTGTTGAGTCTAGCCTAGGATTTGTCTTTAGGGCTTTGCATATAGATTTCTTGATATTCTTGAGGTTTTGGATGCTCCTAAACTGTTATATGATTAATGTGGAGTCTTGGCATGTTTAGGAGTCGTGTCAGGATGTATTTGGAACGATTCTTGATTTAATTCCGTTAATTGAATCCGTGGTGTCGTCGTTATGTGTTGGAATGTGTCTGCACATGATTTTGGGTTCTACGAGTGATCCCGGGATCGAAAAGGTGTCTATGTACCAGTGGGGGGTAGGTGGGGGGATGACCGCCCACCACCTACCCGTTGCCCAGCGAGCCCAATCAGCGGGCAGCCGGCGGGCGGAGGCCTGCCCGCCGGCCACCCGCTGGAATGATGGCTGCCCGCAGGCGGGTGGCTGGCGGGTGGTCCTCCACCCGCTGGAAAGTTGTTATGGGTCGTGATGTTTTTCCCCGTTTGATGTTTCCCCGTGTCCCGTTGTACCCCGTTTGTCGTGTACGAGTCTCATTTGATGTTTTGAATACCGCTCTAGGAATTTATGTGTAGTACGTCTCGTTATGGTTATGTCTTGATTGTTATTGATTGATTATGTGTTGCTTGATTGAATGGTGATGAGTATCATGGTCATTGTGCAATGGTCGATGTGATTGATGATGATGATGAGATTATGATTGGTGAATTGAATTGTTGGCGGTTGGCACAACAAGTGCCCGGTCATTGTACTAAAGGTATAGGCCTAACGGTTACTGTGCTAAAGGCTTTGGGATTTATATGTTAGATTCGCCTTTATAGGCTTTAAATATCTCAAAATTTAGGGGTGTTACAGTGGTGCTCTCTTGATATGTTGGTGGTTGATAGGTGCTTTGTCGATGGGGGCATGTAGTTGCCCGGAGGAATAAGGGAGGCGATATAAGGGTGGCCTGGAGTATAGGTTGGAACTGATATAAGGACGGATGGGAGCCACAAGGTAGGAACTTGGTATAAGGCTGGAAGATGGATTGTGTGCTTTGATGATTACTTGTTAATTGATTGTCTTTGAATGCCATCGTTGTCTCTATTTGCTACTTATGAGCTTATCTGTTTATTATGTCTTGTATCGTATTCTTAAGATGCATGCTAGCCTTTATGATTATATTGACGATTCTATTATCGTGTCTTAAGTCTTGATCTTGGATTTAAATTAGAGTCGCGTAGGTTATATATGTATTCCGGTTTCAAAATGATTTTCTTATACCTACCTATATTGTACTTAACGCGTTGGAGTGGGTTACCAGCATTATACACTGACGATTGTTACACCGCATGTTTTTCAGGTACAGATTAGTAGCTTGGAGTGCGCTAGTTGGATCCCCCGAACCTGGTCTAGATAGTCTTAGATTCAGTTAGTCGGCCTGCATGCCTTGGTTTGTACTCAATTATGGATTTATGGATTTATGTTTGGTTAGTTAGTGTAGACTGTGCATCTAAGTTCTCCAGCTTAAACGTGACATAGCACCCCGACTATTATGTTTCGTTTATGTTCTGTTTGGGATTTAATATTAGATTCGCCTTTATTTTATAGGCTTTAAATATTTTAAAATTTAGGGGTGTTACAGTTGGTATTAGAGCCTAAGTTTGACCCTAGGATAAGACCCCCAAAACGAGACTCTATGGCATTAAGTTCAGACTCTAGGTGCTTAAGTACGTAGGATCTAGGAAGCTTAGGACGCGCGGTGAGGCTGTGAGTTTATCTATCATTACCTGCTTAACTCTTTCCTAATCTGTTCTGTGCTTAACTTGAAAGTCCCCCGTAAATTATAGCATCGAGGTAAGGATGCGAATCCCTAACTTACTATTACGGTCAACATTGACCATGTAGACACCAGGATGGCGCCAACGAGAAGTCAGTCAAGAACCCCTGAGCCTTCTGCCCATGATTCGTTAACTCAGAACCTACAACAGTTGACTCAGGTCACCCAGAAGCTGAGCAACGCCATCCTCCATAACAACAACCGACCACCACCACCAAACGGGAACTCAGACGTAGCCCGCCAAGTCTCGAGCCATCGCCCACCCATCTTCGCAGGGGAAGAAGATCCCACAACCTTTGAAGAATGGATCCGAGCATTCGATAAGATCTTCGAGGTAGTGGAGTGCCCAGAGGGACGCCGTGTGGAACTAGCCTCGTTTTATTTCGGACACGAGGCTGATCTTTGGTGGGTTCACGAAGGACCTGCCTGTAGGCAAGAACCAGGATTCAACTGGGAATCCTTGACGGCACGATTACGGGGACGGTTCTACCCCGCACACGTGAGGGCAGCCATGTACGAAGAATTCCTCCACCTGAAACAGGGAATGACCATGGTGATGGAATACCACAAACCGTTCCTTGAGCTAGCCCGTTTCGCATCTGAATTGGTGCCTACAGAGGCGACTAAAATACAGAAGTTTGTGGCGGGCCTCAATTTCGAAACTCGGAAGGCCTTGACCGTAAGTAGACCCCGAACCCTCAACGGGGCTTACACTAGCGCCGCCGACCTTTACCGAATCCAACTTCTACAACGGGGAGTTCAAGAACAAATCCGAAAGAGGAACAACGGAAGTGCGGAGCAACGATAAAGAGGACAAGGAACGACTCTAACGCGAGGACGGTCTACCCACCAAACCATGGACCGCCTATAAGATACAATGAAGCCAACACAAGACAATTCCTTTGCCGGAGGTGTAACAAGGACCACAGGGGCAAGGACTGTTTCAGAAATGCCCTACGGTGTTTCAACTGCGGAGGAGAAGGACACAAGGCCTTCCAGTGCACCCAATCCCCGAGCACGAAGCCCACGGTCGCGGTCCAACAGGGGAACGCGAACAATCGAAGGAACTACAGGCACCTGGAAAGGTATTCGTCATCAGTCGCACCCAAGCCGACCTCGAAGCCGAAGTTGGGATCGACGCAGAAAACATAGCCCTAGGAGACGAGGACCCTACGAATCAATTGGAAGAGAATCCGGAAGAAGAATTCTGTCTAGGAGAGATAAACTACGAACCCTTGTAAACTACCTTTTAGTAGAATCGCTTACTTAGTTCGATTATTTAGAGTCCCTATACTTTTAAATAAAAGCCAAGATAATTAGTTCAATCAGCTTAAATTCCTCTTACCCCGCCCCTCGGATTAATTAAGGGATTAAATTCATGCCTTCTACAATCTACGAATCACGAAACCAACATTCGGTGAAACCAAGGGATACGACTAGAAAGCCTAATCGGAACGCTTGCCACCCCGGGGCAAACAAATAATAGGAAGTCCTCAAAAGCATAAAAAGAGTGCACTAAAAGACCTAATGTGGCTTGTAGGAATTAAACCTTGGACCTCTTGTTCCCAAACTAAAGCCTTAACCATTGAACCACTATTGTTTCCCAAACACAACCATCTTAACCTCCTCCAAATCCCTAAAACCCAAAATCCCCAAATCAAAAACCCTTCTTCTTCCCTTTCCTTCTTCTCTCTTTCTTCCTCTCCTTCTCTCTCCCCAAATCAAAAACCATCTTAACCACCTGTGACCCGTACGCCGCCCGTCCAGCCACCGCCGAGCATCCACTGCAGCACCGCCGCATCACGCCAAGCCGCGAATACCCCCCCCCCCCCCCGTAGCTTCAGGCGAGCGTCACGCCTCTACCACTCCTTCGAACCGGCGTGACACCGGAGCCCCGCTGTCCCCCGTCGTACCACGCAGCTCTCATCGGAAAAATCCTGCCGGGAAGTTCGTCGGAAAACCAACCCCGCATCCGTAGCCACCTCCTGAAATCCTACGATGTCAAAGAAGCCCACCAATGCCCGAGTTCCAGAGTGGAACAAGCCGACTACACGGTGATCGGAGGTAAAGCACTTGAACCCGATCAATTCTCTCCGAAGTTGGTTGATATGCTTAAATTCCAAGGCCTTTTGGATACCTACCTCGCAATTAAAGGGGATACATATCCCAAGTTGGTCAAAGAATTCTATTGCCATTTGGTAGCTACCAAACGAGGGACAAGTTGGAGATCACCTCCATAGTCTGGGGTAAGGAGATAGTGCTCACTGAGGGCCGCCTGACTAAACTCCTGAAATTGACCGCCACAGGTGTGTCAGACTATGACCGAAAGGCATGGGTTAGCACCCGAGACACGGGGTACAAGAATTATCTCGGTTATTTGTTGGGAAGAGAAGGCAATTTCACTTCGACCACGAGGCCAATTAAGAAGCTGTTAACCGCCGAGCAAAAACTGCTAGTTATGATCGTGGCCAACAGCTTGTTGCCCACTAACAACAAGAGCAAGGATTTGAGAAGCTTGGAATGCACATTTGCCTATTTCCTTAAGCATAAGGTCAAGTTCAATCTACCTGCTCTTATGTTGAAGCACATGGAATTCTGTAAATCTAGCAACTGGCTCAGTCTACCCTACGGGATGATCCTGAGTTGGATCATGGAAAGAAAAGGAGTGGACATAAGCCGGACTGAAGCCAGATCCATGAGTGGGATAGTTTTCAATGCCTAAAACCTCTGACGCAACGACATCTACCATGTCGGAGAGGGGCAGTATGTAACACCCCTAAATTTTAAAATATTTAAAACCTATAAATTAAAGGCTAATCTATTATTATTTCCCAAACAGAGCATAAGCTAAACATAATAGTCGAGGTGCTATGCCACATCTGAGCTAGAGAACCCAGATGCACATGCTAAACTATCTAACAAAGCATAAACCACAATTGATATCCAAATATAAATCAAGGAACGCATGCCATTTCATCAAGGCTATAACTATCTAAACTAAGTCAACGAATCCAACTAGCGCGCTCCGAAGCTACTCAACTGTCCCTGAAAAACATTCGGTGTAACAACCGTCAGCGAATAATGCTGGTAACCCACTCCAACGCATTAAGTACAATATAGGTAGATATAAGAAACTCATTTTGAAAATGGAATACATATATATTTACGAGACTCTAGTTTTAAATCTAAGATCAAGACTCAAGACACGTTAACAGACTCAACAATATAGAATAATCATAAAGACTAACATCCATCCTAAGAACGCAATACAAGACATAACATGCAGATAAGCATATAAATAGAAATTAGAGGCAGCGAAGGTATTCAAGATAATCAATTAGAAAGTAGTCATCAAAGCACACAATTCATCCTCCAACCTTATACCAAGTTCCAACCTTGTAGCTCCCCTCCGTCCTTATATTAGTTCCAACCTATACCTCTAGGTCACTCTTATATCACCACTCCTTATTCCTCCGGGCAACTACATGCCCACACCGACAAACCGCCTATCAATCACCAACATATCAAGATGGTGTCGTAGTGCCATTCACATGATCCGCACCTCTAGTGCCAATATCAAGGGGTTAGTGCATATAGCTATAACATGACACCGCAGCACTTATAACATGACCCATGCTCAACGGCAAGCTAGTCGAAGGTGGGTGGGTGCCTTCAACACAGTCACCGCTATAGCCTGTACCTTTAGTACAATGACCGGGCACAAGTGGTGCCAATCTCCAACAATTCATTTCCACCAATCGCAATCTCATCATCATCATCAGTCACACCGGCCATTACGCAATGACCACGATACTCATCATCATCCAATCAATTAACACATAATCAAATAACAATCAAGACACAACAACAATGACACGTATTACACATAAATTCCTAGAACAATACCCAAAACACCAAACGAGACTCATACACGACAAACAGGGTACAACGGGACACGGGGAAACAACAAACGGGGAAAAACATCACGGACCACACCAAATTTTCAGCGGGTGGAGGACCACCCGCCGGCGATGGTCTACAATCCTGCGGGTGCCCGGCGGATAGTCGCCTGCCCGCTGGAAAAGGGGCAACGGGTAGGTGGCGTGCACCTCTGCCCCCACCTACCCCCCACTGACTTACATGCAACTTTTGGTCCCGAGATCCCTCGTGGAACCCGAAACCATGTCCAGGCACTTTCAAACACATAACGGCAACACCACGTATTCAATTAGTGGAAACAAACCAAGAATCATATCAAATATGTTCTAACATGATTCCTAAACATGCCAAGACTCAATGTAAATCATGTAACGGTTGAGGAGCATCTGGAACCACAAGAAAATCAAGAAATCTATATGCAAGTCCTAAACACAAGTCCTAGGCTAGACTCAACACCCGATTCATGCATAAACCCACCGCAAATACACCAAGATCATCATAATACAAAATTCACGATATAAACCCTAGGGTTCTAGACATAATCAAAATACAAGATCATTCATATAATCAATCATAGTATCAATAACATCAAGATTATCAAATAGGCACAATATAAACCCTAATTTAAAGCTCTATCAAGACTCAATCCCAGAATTACACATACGATTATCAAAGGAGCCAATGAATAAGATATAGCAAGGAAAATAGATTTTTTCGAGACATGGGTTACCTCTTAGCCTTAATTAATCCTCCCTTGGCTATTAAGGTTCTTCTCTAAGATTTCCCTCCGATTGATCTCCTTAGGCTTGGTGGTGGGGAATCTCCTGGGAATAATTTCGTGTAATATAACTATGGGTGGTAATGGTTCTAATTACTTTCTAATCCCCTATTTATAAAGTTGGGAATCCTAATCAGAGTCTGAATAGTAAAGACCTATGTTCTATTCCTAACAGGTATATAGGTCTAGGATTCCTAATTAGAATCTGACTGGTAAAAGGTCTACTCTCTTTATTCCTAATAGGCTTAACGCTCTAGTTTAGGCAAGGGTCCACGATCCATGGTGGACCACATTAATTAAAGGGAATTCTAACCAAATTAAATCCTTTTTAATTATTAACGGAATTAATTAATTAAATAATTAATTCGGGATTAAATAGCGTAACACGGGGTGTTACACAGTACATCACCCTCGAGGAGGTTTGCCTGGAATCCCCAGAAGAGCGACGAATGCTGGTGGATCAGTTGGATATCTCAAACAAGAAAATGAGACGGGCAATGCAAGAAAGCGAGGAGCAGGAAAAAGAAAGCGAGCCTAGCCAACTTGAACCCACACAGGGAAGGGAAACACGGAGGACTGAGACGAGAGGTCCACCAATGAGCGCATCCTCGCGCAGCTCATGAGGCAGAGTCGGATCATGGATGAGGGGTTCTCGTCCTTGATTCTCGCGACGAGCTCGTTGGACAAAAGAGTGGCGGCGATCGAGACCATATAGAAGCGCCACGTTTACCGTCCTTGGCTAGATGAAACGTGGGTCATGCGTCGAAACACACGAGGATGGGGATCGCACCATGTTTCCCATCCACCCTCGATTTGAGAAATACCCCTACAGGTCGGGCATTCTCAAACTCTCTGTGACACCCTGTAAATCCAAGTTCTATTTAAGGATTAATTAAGTAATTAATCCGAGCTTAATTGATTGTTTATTCCTAAAATCCTGAAAATTCAATAGTCGGAGGACTAGTAATTGACTAGTCAATACAAGTCAATGGGTTGTACCCTATGCTTCATGAATTGTTCCCTTGTCTCCTTACACTTTTTCATTTTAGTAAGTGTAAAGAAGACATTTCACCTCATGATTGTATTCCAAG